ATGCACAACTGCCGTTTCTGCTTTCTTACGCCGAAAATCCGGTCTAAGCAATGGCTAGGTGGTCAGCAGGTCAAGGAGGCGTTGCCCTCATGCAGTAGGACGTGCGTGGAGGCGTCGAGGCTGTAAAAAGGTGGTGCAATCTGCCGTAACAGCTGGCAAAAGTTGCGCCGTCGGGGAATCGAACCCCGACCTCATCATGAATCCTAACCATTAGACCAACGGTGCACGTAACGTCTCGCTAAACAGCCCCAAACACTCACAACCAAACCCACATAAAAACAACAAGCTCACACATGCCTTTCACACCTTCAAACACTACACCACCGCCGTGCTCTACTACCGCATACCCAGGCACGCAGCACAAACAAACACAGTTGTAGCTATATTTTTATATCGGTCGATGGGCAGCTGGAATCACACGACAACTCGCAACCTATCAACGCTCGGACGAATCGATCACCATTGGGCGCTAAAGCGCGAGAAGTCCCTCTACTCACTCGGACCCGGCTCGTATATTGGGTCTGCAACTTCGGCAAGAGATTGTTCGAGCAGCGGGACCGATGAGCGACATTCTTTTATTAAATGCGGCGCTCACAGAATCACCACTAGACCATCGAATGCAGCTATCAATTCACACAGTTCGGCAAAGGAGTGCAATAGATATCAGCAAAGAGTGACAAAAGGTGCTCCGAGCAACAGGCCACCAGGTGACTGAACGAGCAACCAGAGGTGGAGACTACCTTGAACAGGTTGCGCAACCCAGAGTGCGCCGCCGGGGAAATGAACCCCGACCTCATCCGTGGGAGGGATGAATCCTAACCATTAGACCAACGGCGCAGCAGACAAACTAGATGTTACCTCAATACAAACACCAACTAAACCACAACCCTAGTCATACAACAAACGCCCAAACGCCAACAACAATGTGCCAGCTGCAACGACCCACATCCCACAAACCCGTCGCAACCCTCACGCTGCCTCTGACGCACGAGCTGCATACACAAGCAAGAACTAGTATGCACAACTGCCGTTTCTGCTTTCTTACGCCGAAAAGCTGGTCTAAGCAATGGCTAGGTGGTCAGCAGGTCAAGGAGGCGTTGCCCACATGCAGTAGGACGTGCGTGGAGGCGTCGAGGCTGTAAAAAGGTGGTGCAATCTGCCGTAACAGCTGGCAAAAGTTGCGCCGTCGGGGAATCGAACCCCGACCTCATCCTTGGAAGGGATGAATCCTAACCATTAGACCAACGGTGCACGTAACGTCTCGCTAAACAGCCCCAAACACTCACAGCCAAACCCACATAAAAACAACAAGCTCACACATGCCTTTCACACCTTCAAACACTACACCACCGCCGTGCTCTACTACCGCATACCCAGGCACGCAGCACAACAGCGCCAAACAAACACAGTTGTAGCTATATTTTTGTATCGGTCGATGGGCAGCTGGAATCACACGACAGCTCGCAACCTATCAACACTCGGACGAATCGATCACCATTGGGCGCTAAAGCGCGAGAAGTCCCTCTACTCACTCGGACCCGGCTCGTATATTGGGTCTGCAACTTCGGCAAGAGATTGTTCGAGCAGCGGGACCGATGAGCGACATTCTGTTCTTAAATGCCGCCGCTCACAGACCCTGCACTAGACCATCGATTGCAGCTATCAATCAACACAGTTTTGCAAAGGAGTGCAATGGATATCAACAAAGACGTGACAAAAGGTGCTCCGCCCAACACGCCACCAAGTGACTGAACGAGCAACCGGAGA